GGGACGTCCCTTGTCAGTATTTGACTCAGAGAATTTAAATTCAGCCCTCACGCATGTCTGCGTCTCATTTGTGAATAAGACAGAGTTTGAATTGGCATTGTGACAATTCGGGTGCTGAAGGTTAGAATGTTTGTTGTTCAAGTATGGAACTGTGAATGTAAAATGAGCTATTGCGTCCTCTCATATCTCACATACGAATATACGGAACTTGACGTTGACAGTTTTGTAACTGCGCAACCAAATGAAGAGTGCTGAAATTTTTCAAACATGGCCATGACTGTTTTTGGGTAGGTATGCGTGAAAACAACATCCCTTTACGCCTCACATACGGCCCCGTCAAAGCAGGAAGGTTGCTGGAATTTTCCGCGTATGGCTCGTGATTGTATTTGAGTAAATGTATTTGAAAACGGCTCTCGCTACCTCATCGCACATACGATGTAGTTTGGCACTCACAATTTTTTTGTGACACCTTAACACCGTGAACAAAAATGAATGCTGACAAAAAATCCTAGTTTTATTTGCATTTGTGTTCGGTTACTTGCCTGGAAACACAGCGTTACTTAGCAACAGACATTTGTGCAAAAAACGCGTGATTATGCCGGCAGGCTTGGTGCGCGCTGCTACTGGTTCCTCTTTCTTGCTCACTAATTTTTTGCTTGATTAGTTCGTAAATGAGGTTTTTTTTTTTTTAAGCCTCTCTGGCAGCATCATAGAATGCGCGAAGTACCAAGCCCTGTTTATTCCTTCTATGTTGCACGTCCATGCTGTCATGTCCGCGTCATGGTACCTGCAGAGCTTGAAGTACTTGGACCTGCCACGGTGCAGTATTATGCGGCTTGACATTTGAAAAAATAATTGGCCAACGCACGGGCTGCCCGTGCTAAGATGCGTTTTTGCATAGTTCCCCGCAATGTTTTTTTGCTACCGGCACCGGCTTTTTCGGCAAATGCTTCTAGCTAAACAAATTAAGACTGGCTGCCGGAATTGTCAGAAAACACCCCCTTAAAATTTCAGCTTTCTAGCTTCCCTGGCTCCTGAGTTAC